AAAGAGTGAGCACACATGAGGGCACAGAAAGCTTTCATCCTCAGCTATCAAGTTTTCACACCAGGCCTCTCTCTGCCCTGCGCAAGCACGGCGTCCTCGGCTTTCATCCTGTATTTGACCGGGAGCGCAACGCTGCCAAACAGCAAGATGCCGTGAAACGCTTCAGAGAGGAGGTTAATGAGATTTCAGCGAGCTGGGAGCAAGGAGAGGGAGCCCAGTGAGTTCCAGGCAAGTCACTCCCACCAATCCTATTTTGCTGGCAGATTAGAAGCAGCCCAGAAGAATCTGACCCTGGAGTAGGGCGGCTGTATGAGGCACCACTGGACCTCTTCATTTTTACAGGACAGATAGCATTCATCTACAGATGAAAAACATCACATCATAAACACACAAAATTGCAACAATACTTAAATACATTTGTGTTTTCACTACTACATGCTGACAGACATCCATTAAAGGGGAAAGATTCCCCATACAGTAAACTTTTAAAGAATGTCTAATCTCTCATTCAAGATTTTGAACATGTCAAATATTACCTACACATATAGGTAGAGTTTGTAGAAACAGGAGTTTCCAACTGCTTACGTGGCTTCAAGAAGCAGGACACCTTCCAGGATTAGGAGGGAAGAGCCCCCTTTTGCTTTCTCTAAGTATTTCTTTGTGTCAGCTGAATATTCTTCAAGCAAACTTTAGGTGCATTCCAAAAAAACAGATACATTTGAGGACAGAGGCTGCAGGGTGAGAAGGTTAGCAAGAGTGCAGTCTTAAGCACGAGCACATGGCTCTTGGGAGCACAGAGGGGTGGGAATAAAACAAAAATAAAACAAAAATAAAACAAAAATAAAACAAAAATAAAACAAAAATAAAACAAAAATAAAACAAAAATAAAACAAAAATAAAACAAAAATAAAACAATCGTCATACACATTTTAAGGATTGCTATTACAGTGAAAGTAAACTCAATGGCTTTACCTACTTTATGTGAATACATTTACTTTTTTGCCAGATAGGAAAAGATGGCAACTTGTTTTTTTTTTGTTTGTTTGTTTGTTTGTTTTGTCATTACCAGGGTAAGTTTTCAGTTCTTCCCACATCAGTAAATTGCATCTCCATTCTAAGTTAAAAAGCTCCTACAATCTCTTTTCTCTCATAGATGAGACCGCAAGAGAAAACTTTTATTAGCCCTAATCTCTGCACTCACAAAGCTATTATTCTTTGGGGCATTTGAACCATTTTCAACATCTTGTTTTGTTCAAGTTAATGCAAAAGGCTCAGAAGAGAAACCTTATTTTTCCACCAGCTTTGTAACGTATCATGAATACTCAGTTCCCCAAAACAGGATAATTTATTTAATGTAGACTTGAATGAGGTCTACGTTGCACTGAACAGCTTTCACACATACACATGTACATAACTTCAAAACACACTATAATCTATGACTAGCTTTTCCAGCACAGGTTTATAATCATGTGTCTCAATAAAATATTGGAAGGTGTAAGTCAAAAAGTACA